TCAGTGCAGGGAGTGCCGGGGCAGCGGTGGCCACGAGAACTGGTGTGTCTCCGCGGGGAGTGTCTGTCATGGATGCCGGAAGCCGATCAAGAAGGTTAAAGGACATGCGCACATGAGGAGGAGGAGGTCGACTAAATCTTTGGAGGATCCGGGTCAGTTTTTTGTTTCGCTTTTTTTGTTTTTGTTTTTGGTAAGAGTTTTACGGCACTTTCAAAGCAATGGGGTCATATACGTGCCAAAGATTAGAGCATGTGTTTCAAGGGAGGTAGTAACAAACACGAAAAAGACGGAGGGGAGATAAGCTAAAGAAACGATAGATGTTTGACAGGAAAGAAGGATCAAACCACACCAGAGCACTCGCCAACCATCCACTGTTCCTTTTGGTCTGAGTTATTTTACGTCTCCTTCAAAGCAACGTAGTGACCCCAAAAGGTCCCTTTTCTGAATGACCGCTTAATTTTGTTCCTGAATGTCACCATGCACCCTTTTTCGACGACTGCAACCTCAATATAGAATCTTCCCCCCCCCTCAAATTCAAAACTGCATTTAAGAGAGGTGCCCAAGTTAGCCGCATTTAAAACCGGTCCAATACACGTTTGTTTAATCCCATCCGTACGTCGTGTTTTACTATTTTTATCCATACGACATGGGGAACTCTCTGCCACCTCAAAGAGGAAATTTACTCGTCAATCCGATCCGTACACTGTGCATAGCAGTCTGTCAAAATGATTTTTTGAGAAATACTGAAAGTTTCAAAGAGATCTTCGTACTAGAAGTATTCTAAAATGGAAAGAATATAACCCGGGGGTACAAAATGACCCCAAAGCGTACGGATAGGGTTAAATCCTTTTTTAGTTTATTACTTCTTTCAACAACGAATAAATGTGATTAGCAGCTTCATATCGGACCAGAGAGCTCTGTTTATCAGTTAATATTCAGTGTTTTGGGAATTTAGTTTTAGCTTAGCTTTAGTAAGAGTTTTACGGCACTTGTGACATAAATATACTGTATAAGTGCCAAATAGTCATTACATTAAACTTCCATCTTCATCACGCACTCATTACTAAATCAGAGAGCCCTGAATATACATAATCATCGTCGCGTTAATTTTTTTACCATCTTTTCTCTCCAGCGTCTCGCAGAAGCCCCGACACCATGATAGCCACCCTGAAGGGGAACAAAAGCCTTCACGACCAGCGAGGCTGCTCCGCGAAGCAGAAGGAGCGGAAGCGGAAGAACAAAGGAAGAGGCGGGAAGAAATCGAGAGAAGCAGACGACGACGACGAGATGGAGCAGCGCGTACGCTTCAACGATACCGTACAGCAGGTATCGCCGGACAATAGAAAGCGACTACCCAAAACGGCGCTGGATTACGAAAACCTTCGCAATTACGACCACGTCAGATCACCGGAGACTTCTTATTATAATAAACAATCGAGAGGGAAGAAAGGAGAGGGGGACGGTTGGGCAACTATGGTAGAGAGAGACTTGGACGAAGAAGAAGCAAACCGTAGTAAGAAGGTGCGAGAGCGGCCGAAATCACTGGACGACTATCGTATACCAGGGGTTGGCGTGAACGTTCACCGTGCCGCCTACATTCTGGCTCTGCAAGACGCTCGCATTCGGAACTCGTCCAAAAAGAACAACAACAGCAAGAAGAAGAAGCGAGGCGGGAAGAAAGGGGGAGAAGCGACGACGGACTACCCCGGCACCGTGTTCTCTTACTTCCCCTTGCTGCGCAAGCCCGTGTCGGAGTCGGAGTCGACGGCGCAGAGCAGCAGCAGCTCCACTCTCGGCCTCAGGCAGGCTGAAGGGTCAAAGGTTAAACTGAAGAACGCCATGAAGCATATTTTCGGAAGCGTCAAAATGGCGGACTACTACCCTGGCGGAAGTCGATGGAGGAAATTGGCGTAGGGCTTACGAACTTGACAATTTGGGTAAAAAAAGAATAACTATATGTATATATTTATTGTTTCGTTCATTCGAAGTCACAGGAGGAAATTGGCGTAGGGCAAAGGAACCTGACAAATGGGTAAAGAAAAGAATAGTTATATATATAAATTATTATATATTTATTGTTTCGTTCTTTAAAAAAAACACCCATACAATGGCATAACATGATATGAAAGGACAGTATTAGAGCATGTTGTAAACCCCACAGAGCTTGCTTTCCAGAAGGGATATGCACTACATAATATATCCATCATCATCATCATCATCATCATCATCATCATCATCATCATCATCATCATCATCATCATCATCATCATCATCATCATCATCATCATTAGATCTGAAACGGACATCGGTGATTTTGGTTCGCCGTTCATGGTTGCTCTAAAAAAAACCCTAGATCTGTATTATTTGTTATAAAACTGATCTGTCCCTATCCCACATTTGTTCATGTTTCCCAAGTAAGTTGCTCTGGGTTTACTTTACCCCTGCTAAATTTGTCTTCTATTTTTCTAATGAAAATAAGATGTTCAAGGTCTGACATAAACATACAATCTTTTACTATAATAATAATGATGATAATAAAAAAAAAAAAAATAAAAAAAAATAATAATTACATTGTTGTTGTTGTTGTTGTTTTTATTATTATTATTATTACTACTACTATCATTATTGTTATTATTATGTAGTTATTATTATTATTATTACTACTACTACTATTATTATTGTTATTATTATGTAGTTATTATTATTATTATTATTTTATTATTATTATTATTATTGTTATACTGTTGTTATTATTATTATTATTATTATTATTATTATTATTATTATTATTATTATTATTATTATTATTATTATTATTATTATTATTATTATTGTTACTTATGTTGTACAAATGCATGGCACAGGCGATACGAAATCACGAGATTCTAAGAAAAGATACAACAGCTAAACAAATTCAGACACACATACACACCCACCTACATTTGAGCGCTCTGTCGAAAAAATGAGTTCACGGATTTTGACCTTGTGGAAATAGATACATCACATTAATAGGATGGGTTTGTACGATTAATTTATGAAATGGATATATTATGGTAAAAGACACGTTAAATTCGTAGAAAAACGGTAATGGTTAGTAAAAAAAGCTATTTTACTTGACCCCTGTGTCAATTTTTAGCCGATATCTCCATTCACAGAAATCAAGAAGTAAGCTATGTTGTCAGCACGCCTCACACATCATTGGGCAGGCTTTTATGGTGGATGGAATTATGTTCCCCTTTACTTTGTACTCAAAGCGTTTGAGTTTGAACCCCACTAGGGTAAGACATTGATATTACGTGTCACGACGCTGTGGAATCAGGTGCTCGTCAGTTTTTTAGCGTATGGTGTTATGATGTAATCTGAAAATCTTGCTTTTGATGAAAAATTACCCATCTATCTTGAATAGAAGTCGAGATATTTGCGTTTGAAGAGGGTGGGGGGGGGGGGGGGTGGGGGGTGGGGGGAGGGTGGAAGGTCGCCTGGTAGCTGAGGTAAAATCAGCGAGTAAATGGCCGCCAAATTTTGGTGACTTCTAAAGCTTGAGAGTCCTAGGAAAATGCAAATTTACCATGTTTTTGTGCCTTTGGTCAACATTTATTTTAGAGAAACCCATACAGACATGTGTTGTTAGATGAACATAAACGATGTTAAGTCTAAACAAAAAAAAAAAAAAGGAAAAAAAAAACATGTAGAAATTACCAAGCGGTAGGGGAAATGCTGTTTCTTCGATTTCATTATTTTGACGACTGCCTGATTTCACCTAGATTGTATTGTATCTCAAATTTGTCAGCACGCCTCACACATCATGGGGCAGGCTGTCATGGTGGATGGAGTTATGTTCTCTTTTACTTTGTACTCAAAGTGCCTGAATTTGAATCTAAATTATGTCCGTTTAAAACAAGAAGTGCAGAGAAACCGGCGTCTGTGGTGCAGCGGTTAGAGACCTCTCTGTCGCACGCAGGAGACCCAAGTTTGATTTCTGAGTGGGGATAATATTTTCAGTCTTTCTGCTTGGACGTTGTATCCTTCTCATCTCAGCCAGGGTTGGCTTAGACACTCAGGGTCGGAAGCCCCCCTTCTCAATGATCTGAATTCTGTCGACGGGGAAAAGGGTGTAGGTTTAACGCCCCTATCAACACTATTAGGTTATTTAAGAGGCTGGACCTCTTAGTTTAACGTCCATCTCCGAAAGGACCGAGCCAAATGGGAGATTCATGTAAAGTGCCTTTCCCAAGGACACAACAGCTGAGGCTCGAACCCACGAACCCACAATCTCACGATTACGGGTCTGGTGGCTACCGACGCCACCCTTATGTCGGTGGGGGCGTAAAAATATTTACAATATAGATAAAAATTGTTGTGATCCTTGTTTTGAGCTTGGCTGAGTTCCTTTGTACATCTTTTCGTGCGAAATGTGTGCGAGGTCGAAAGAGAGTTGGTACAATATGACATTTTTCTTCACATATCATGCATGTATATTAAGTTTGTGTTTTTTAAAATGTGAAAATGTGTGTGTGTGTGTGTGTGTGTGTGTGTGTGTGTGTGTGTGTGTGTGTCTGTGTGTGTTTGTATGTGTGTGCGTGTGTGTGCGCGCGTGCGCATGCGTATGTAACTGTATGTATATATGTGTATGTGTGTTGTACGTTAAATCTGTTATGTTACATAAATTGAGTTTGTTTGGGTAAATAAAAAGACAACAACACATCGACGCAAGAGTGACAAAAAAGTTTATAAATGGAAATAGTGCTGGTTAGTAGACTGACATTCATGACTAAAAGTGTAACGACCGACATGAAAATAAATCTATGTAATTTGGATAAATATTTTTTTTGCTATTTTCAACTCTAAAGTTACAACTAAAATTTAAATTAATGTTATTTCTTCGTTTAATACAGCTCGGACGTTATGAAAATAGAAAAGATTACAATTATTACTGAATGTATAAGGAATGACATAAAAAGTTGATCCAAGTAATTTGATTAAAAAGTAAGCTGTTTCTTGCATTTAAGACCATATCTGGGTTAAAAAACATAGTTATTTGTTATGTTCTACTGTTTGGAATTTACTAAATTATATGCATTACATCCATTGCGGAAAGTGTAACGACCGACATGAAAATTAACCTTAGTAATTTGGATGGAAAAATGGTATATTTAGCTTTAAAATGACAAATGGAATCTAAATTAAAGTTATTAGTTGTTTAAAACAGCTTGGAGGTCATGAAAATAGAAAAGAGTACATTTATTACTTAGTGTGTATTGAACGATAAAAAAGTTAATCCAAGTAATTAAAATTTAATTAAAAAATAAGCTGTTTCTGGCATCTAAGACCACATCTAGGCTCGAAAACACAGTTACCTGTTGTGCACTAAAGTTTGGCACGTGCTAAATCATATAGATTACATCCGTTACGGAAAATGTAATGACCGACATGAAAATTAACCTAAATAATTCGGATGGGAAAAATACTAATCTCACCTCTAATACTACAACTAAGATCGAAAGTAGAGTTGTTTGTTGTTTACTACAGTTTGAATATCATGAAAATAGAAAATTTACATTCATGACTAAGTCTATAACGATCCTCCTAAATTATTGCATATAATATGGGTTTTAAAATAACTCGTTTCTTGCTTCTAAAACCATATTATTATCTAGGTTAAAAAATATAGTTAGTTGTTGTCTACTACGGATTAACTGGTACTAAGTTAAATAAATTGCATCCATCACTGAAACTGTAACCACCGACCTGGAAATTAAGCTAAGGATATTTGCATAAGAAAAAGGTTATTTCTACATTCAAAGACCACAGATAGGTTCCCAAAGAAAAACATTTGTTTTTTTTTAAAACTGGGCTTGACACTTACGAAAATGTATAGAATACATTCATGACTGGAAGCATAACGACCGACATGAAAATTGATCAAAGTAATTTGGATGACAAAAAATGCTATTTCAAGCTTGTTTAATTCACCTTGGATGTCATAAAAACAGGAAAGATTTCATTCATTATTGAGTGTATAAAGGACGACGTAAAAAGTTGATTCAAGAAATTTGATGTAAAAAATAAGCTGTTTCTTGAATCTAGGGCCTCATCTAGGTTAAAAAAATCATAGTTATTTGTTGTAGACTACTGTTTGGCACGTACTAAAAAGTATAGACTGTATCCATCACGTTAAGTGTAACAACCGACATGAAAATTAACCCAAGGAATGTTGATGAAGAAAAAATGTTATTTTCAGCTCTAAAGTCACAACTAGGATCTAAATATTTGTTATGTGATGTTTAAAACAGCTTGTATGTCACGGACATAGAACATATTACATTTATTACTAAGTGTGTTATGAGCGGCCAAAAAAATTGATCCAAGTAATTTGATTTAAAAGTAAGCTGTTTCTTGCATCTAAGACTATAAGGTCTACTACGGATTAACTGGTACTAAGTTAAATAAATTGCATCCATCACTGAAACTGTAACCACCGACCTGGAAATTAAGCTAAGGATATTTGCATAAGAAAAAGGTTATTTCTACATTCAAAGACCACAGATAGGTTCAAAAACATAGTAATTTGTTGTGCACTACAGTTTGACTCTCACTAAAGTATATAGATTACACCCACTACGGAAAGTGTAACGACCGACATGAAAATTAACAAAGTAATTTGGATGAAAAAAAAGCGAATTCCGCCTAAAAAAAATCACAAGTAAGATCTAAAATAAAGCTATTTGTTTTTTACTGCTGATTGGATCTCATGAAAATATAAAAGATTACATTCATTATCAAATGTATAAAGATTCACATAAAAATTATTTTCATTTAATAGAGATTTTAAAAATCAACTGTTTCTTGCTTCTAAGAGCCTCTGATTTCAGGACGCTGCCTCGCATGTACTAAACCCTGAAAGCAAAATTCTATAGGAGAGAGAAAAACGGAACTGTTTCTTTCATTTAAGAATGGTAGTACCTTACGTACCTTTTTGGTGCTTTATTCAACATTTAGAATTTGAATTTCAGCAGCAAAATATATCTCTAACCCATGCAACCGATGCCACAAACTTGGAAACTACAATAAAAAGAACATTCCAAATAAATTGTAGAGGGCTCTCATAGCCTAGAGGTTAAGGTGTTCGCCTCTCATTCAAAGGTCCTCTGGGTTCGAATGCAGGTAGCGACAGAATTTTTTCCCTCTAAAATTGTCTCCTTTCACCTCCGTTCCTGCTCTATAGCAATGTTCCGTCGTTTACTTTCTTTTCTACTTTCTGCTCCCACCCCTCACCTCCTTTGATCCCTCCTTTGAGCTCTTGACTCTTTCTTCAACCTTTCCACTGCTACTCCTTGGTTCCTTCTTACAGCTGTCTTTTCAGCCACCCCTCTGATCTTCTTGTAGAAAAGATCTATACAAGCCCTCTCGTGCAACAACGAAAAATGTCGGAGGCCCCGTGTGCAAGTTTCGCACGTTAAAGATCTCTTGGTGGTCTAAAATCAATAATAAGAGTAGGCT